TCGAGTGCTTCCAACATTTCTCGTAGTTGGCACTTTTCTGGGCCACAGTGAAGGCGACCCAACGAAGGGAAGCTATGTCCCCGACAGCCTGTGTGCTGCGGAGATTGAAACTTGCCACTAGTAAATGCGTCCTCTCTTAGGCATACCACTTCCGCGTGGCTTGCGTTGCCAATGTAACGCTTCCAGCTCGCCTGATGTTTCAGGAGTAACTATATGAAATCCGTTGTCTTTACGAGTGCTCGCAGAGAAACCCGTTTTGCAGGCACCGAAAAGGCTGAACACACCAGGCGTTTGTCTCTGCGCTGCATTGGGTGAGTGCTCCGACCTTTCCGAACGACCTTTCTGATACGCCGCTATAGTGGGTGACTGTTCCGACCTTCCGGAGGAAGCACCGTCTCGTTTTGATCCGCCGCATTTGATGAGTTGGTGCGAGTTCGCGCGTGATCTCTCCTCTCCCTGCGAATAGCCATTGGATCTCTCCTCTCCCTGCGAATAGCCATTGGATCTCTCCTCTCCCTGCGAATAGCCATTGGTGTTCGCTGCAATGCTGGGTTCCCGTGACATGCGCTGCAGTTCTCAGCACAACTTACCCTTTGCACGCGAAATGCGTGTCTGGGTTACTTTACTGCATACATGGTTGTCTTTTCTTTTCTTTAATTGGCCACTCGCTAGCTTATCTCACTCCCCCTCATCTTGTTCTCTGTCCCTCCCTAACGAACCCCTTTCGCCAGCATTCGCAATGATCGCTGCTTCCTTCACTCTGCCAGCACTTGCTGACGTCACATCCACTGGAGTCACATCCGCTGCTGTCACGTCCGCTGCTAGCCGTGTGACAAAGCACGCCAATGAAGCTCGCAGGCTGCTGCGGGGCACCAAGGCACGGCAGCTGGGAGAGACAGCTTCAGTTGCTGCTGGTAACTGGACCGGGGCTGACACCACCAGTCATAGTGGCTGCACCGACAGCAGTGGTGACACCAGCAGCAGTGGTGACACCAACGGTGGCGATGGCGGCAGCAACGGTAGCAGCGGTGTGGACGTGGCAGCGATTCTGGAGGAGCACAACAAGGCGCGGCAGGAAGTGGGCGTGCCGGACCTCGCATGGGATGAGGGACTGGCACTCGCAGCACAGCAGTGGGCAGCTGAGCTCGCTTCCAGTGGATGCAACCTGGAGCACGGAGGGGCTGACGGACTCGGGCAGAACCTGTACTGGAAGGCGCCTGTGCAGCTGAACAGTGCCGAGGACCGGGCGGCAGTGCAGTCGTGGTTGGCGGAGAAGGAGGACTGGACGTACAGTGCCGTGCAGGAGGGGTGTGCGGATGGGAAGCAGTGCGGGCACTACACGCAGGTGGTGTGGCGGGACACCACGCATGTTGGGTGCGCTGCTGCCCAGTGTGCGGATGGGGGGGGCATGTGGGTGTGTGACTACTCGCCGCAGGGGAACATGATTGGGTCCACTCCCTACTAGGCATTTCCTGCAATGAGGGGAGGATGGAGGGCTGCTGCTCTGACTAGCCCTGCAAGACGCGCATGCAAGGGGGTGATGCATGGCAATAAGGAATAAAGGGGCGTGGAGTGGAAGTGAGACTGTCCCTGGTGTCGCACCTGTTGCTTTGTTACGTTTCTCTGTGTTTCTTGAGTTTAGTAGACGTGTTTTCGGTTGGTAACTTGATGAGCTAGCGATATGTTTCTCCGTACGAACAATCCATCACTGACTAATTGTATCATCAATGCACCAGGACAAGTGGTGGAGTGTAGCTGGCAGAGATTAAAAAATGAACGGAAGCTAACAATGTCATCAAGCAAAACGACCACTGGATCGTCTGAAGACACATGCTGCACAGAGCAGTATGTGTGCATGCTGGGGGTGCTGGCTCATAACGACGGTTTCATGGGGTTACCACTTTAATCCCGGTCAACAGGTACCCTCCGGTGGCTGACATGCTCATGTGCGGGTGGGTTCTCTGGGGGAGCACTTGGGGGGGAGAGGAGAGGGGAAACAAACGCAGTTAAAGAGCTCACATGGGCGCACAATCACACAACCAAGCACCCTCCAGTGGCTGACATGCTCATGAGGGGGTGTCGGCTTTTAACGAAATAGTTTCATGGGGTTACCACTTCCATCCCAGTCAACAGGTACCCTCCAGTGGCTGACATGCTCATGTGGGGGTGTCGGCTTTTAACGAAATAGTTTCATGGGGTTACCACTTCCATCCCAGTCAACAGGTACCCTCCAGTGGTTGACATGCTCATGTGCAGGTGGGTCGTCTCGGGGAGCACCGGGGAGGGAGCGAAACAAAGGGAGGTGCTGTGCGGTGCAAGGGGAGTGAAGTGAATCGATCAAACCATTCAGGGGCCACCGCCTTGATACCACACAGCAGAAAGCCTGCTGTGTCTGACATGCTCATATGAGGGTTGGTCCTCTGGGGGAGCACCTGGGAGGGAGGCAAAGGGGAGCACCTCCATGAGCGACATGCGAACCGACCCGCCCACCTGGCACTCCCTCAGCCACGGCGCACCCAGCTCCATCCCCACTGCCTTGCTCCGCACGCCCTTTGCATGCCGCCGCCGCATGCTCTCCCCAAAAGACACAGTACATGCCAGCTCTCCTCTCCCACCCGGTACTCCCTCAGGTGTGGCGCACCCAGCTCCAGGGCCACTACACTGCCTCCTCCTCCCCCCCCCCTTTTGCCCCCCACACGCGCAGCTCATGCTGTTTCCACCCACCGACTGCCCTCTCAACCCACCTGGTACTCCCTTAGCCACGTCTCACTCCAGCATGCGAGCATGCTCCGGGTTCACGTGAGGCGCCACCACCACTTTTATCCTCTGCTCCTTTCTCCCTCCCACCACCTCCCCTCTCCATCCCGCGCCACCCACCCCCCTCCTCTCCACCTTCCCCTCCCCCACCACACTCACTGCCTCTCCCTCACTCCCTTCCTTCGCCTCAACCTCTCTCTTAGACTCCCCGGTTCCTCCTCCCCTTTGCTCCTCTCCTCTCTCCCCCGCAGCCTCCCCGCCTGCTGCTGCTGTGCCCGTTCTACATCCTTGTCTACGTAGATGATCTAGTCTTCGCTACTACAAACAGAGACGCATTTGCCTCCGTGAAGGCCGAGCTGCTGAGGAGACACACCTGCACTGACCTTGGAGAGCTACGACGCTGATTTGGTCTGCAGATCTCCAGGGAAAGAGCAGCATGCACCATCACTCGCACATTGTCACACTTGGTGCACCAGGTCTTTCAGAGGTTTGGTGTTCAGTTCTCCTTCGGACAGCCCACAACTCTGCTAGTAGATGACAGGCTCTCAGCTCTAGTCCCAGAGGAGTCAGTAGAGCCTAGTGGACCAAATCTTGCATACCATGTCAGCATCCTGGCTCGCTTTGTGGCCATAGCAGACACCGACCACATCACTGGTCGGTCGCTAAGAGGTTTTTGCATTATCTAGCAAGTACATCGGGCATGGGGCTAGTGCTAGGAGGACGCTGGCCAATGGTCCTTACTGGGCACACGGACGCTTCATGGGCAGACGACACTGAGACTCTCAGGTCCTCCCAGCGCTACTGCTTTAGCCTTGGTGCAGGTGCCATTTCGTGGAGGTCCACCCGCTCGTCGTCTGTTGCAAAGTCTTGCTATGAGGCTGAGATCTACACTGCTGCCATGGCAGCACAGGAGCTCCGCTGGCCGACTTTCTTGCTCACAAACTTAGGTGAGCGGCCTAGCTCTGCCTCGGTGTTGTACGCCGAAAACAGGGCCATGATCCTCTGGTGTCAGGAGCCTCAAGTGGAGGGCTGAGCGAAGCATATCCAACTGCGGTCCTTCCTCCCGCACAAGCTACAGCAGCGCCGCAAGGCCTGCATAGCACACTTGGCCTCCGGTCCCCACACAGCTGATATCTCTACGAAGGCGCTTGCACCTAAGGATCATCAGCGGCACTGTGTACAGCTTGGTCTTGTTCCTGTTTCTTCTCTCTTACGAGGACCCTGATGTATACTTCCTCTTATATTATCTTGAATAGCCTTGTGGCTCTTGTTCCAGTGGCTGGACTAGTAGCGCCGCCCTGGTTTACTCTTGTTTAGTTTGTACTCTTGCTGACTGGTCTTTGGACCCTTGCCTCAGAGGTTGTCATACTGGTGAGCTGCGTGTCTCTTGCCCGGCACTGTCCCTCATCTAGCCTAGGGACTGTGTCAAAGATATGTGTATATGTTACTATAGGCTGGATAGGTGCAGACTCTTGGACAGTACATCCCCTTAGCACAAAACCGTCGTGCATCTTTCATACTAGTCAATTCCCTTCTCTGAGAACTTACCTAGGGACATACACTGAGGAATGAAGGGGAGTATTAAAGAATACTCGATATGGTTACCACTTATGCATTCCTGATATCATGCATAGACTGTAGTAGTTTCGCGATATCTTATATGGAAAGACGCGTGCGATGACGTCAGTAGTAGCGAGTCAACGCGCGGACAGTAAGTTGACGTGTATAGTCACCTTAAGGGTCATGCCACTCCCAGTCACATGAACAGTCACTAGTCATGTCATGTGAATAGTCGTGACACACTACGAATAGGTATTTCCTAGACTATAAATATGCATGTATTACTTATTATTATTATCCTTGTCATTTCGGACATTTCCAATACAAGGTGTAAAGTCTTCCGCTGACTTTTACTCGTGGTTCCACCAACTCTAGATCCTGGCCACCCTAATCACGTGGTTCATTTCAACACATAACACCCTGTATGCCCTTCGTTTCTCTGAGATCTACTTCGCTAAGGGGTGGGGTGGTGTAAGGATTCCTTACCGAGCCGTATTGCTAAACCGATGCGCGGCCCGCTACCGCCCGTGCGCTGGCGTGTCAGCGCGAGGGTGTTGACTTCTTCCAGTCCTTCGTCACGACCTCGAAGATGACCACTCTTCGGGCGCTGATAGCAGCACAGCGTAACTACAAGCTGCACTCCCTCGACTTCTCGACAGCGTTTCTTCAGGGTAGTTTGCACGAGCAGGTCTACCTGGATTGCCCGCCAGGCTTCACCGGCACCTTCGCCCCGGGAACCCAGTGGCTCCTCCGGCGCACGGTTTACGGCTTGCGGCAGGCGCCGCGCGAGTGGCACGATACGTTGTGTGCTACATTAGCTAACATGCAGTTCTTCCCATTGTCTGCAAACCCTTCACTCTTCGTTCGTGATGGCCAGACCCCGCTCTACATCCTTGTCTATGTATACGACCTAGTCCTTGCTATTGCAGACAGAGACGCACTGGCCTCCGTGAAGCCTTAGCTGCCGAGGAGACACACCTCCAATGACCTGGGAGAGTTACGCCGCTACCTTGGTCTGCAGATCTCCAGGGACAGAGCAGCACGCACTATCACTCTGATACAGTCACACTTGGTGCGCCGGGTCCTTCAGAGGTTCGGCCTTCAGTTCTCCTCTGCACAGCCCACACCTCTGTTGGCAGATCAATGGGTCTCGGCTCCAGTCCCTGTGGAGTCTGTAGAGCCTAGTGATCCTTACATAGAGCTGGTGGATTGCCTGAAATACCTGATGACTTGCACTCGTCCAGATCTCGCATACCCTCTCAGCATCCTGGCTCGCTTTATGGCCACAAGCAGACACCGCCCGCAGCACAGGTTGTCATAGGATCGAATGACTCGAGGATCGATTGCACTATCGATCAGTACAAGGCGCTTTTATACTTCCAGAGTACATCAGGTAACCAGGTTTTATCCTATCTAAAGGAATAGACCCTTCTAGAATATAGAATCACCCTGCGTATAGCCACGCGAGGCTATTGGCTTTAAGGGATTACGGCAGGATTACGCTAGATAGCGTGTCTAGAACATTCCATGCCTGGTCGGTGATATAATTATAACAAGGGAAGAAACCAAAGGATAATGGAAAATGGGGAATATGAAACCAAATGAGATGAGATAAAAAGAGGAATGAAATGAAGATGAAATATGGAAAAGGCCAAGTGGTGTAACGAGGTCGTACTCTCACACTTCCCCCCCTCAAAGCTGGGTGGTAGAAGTAACACCCTGCTTGACAAGGTAGTCATGCAGAGGACGACGGGCGTTACCCATGTCGGTCTCAGAGACCCAGCTGTCCTCAGAAGGATCATAACCCTTCCAGCGAATAAGAAGCTCCACGGTGCCATTCCGACGACGGCGGTGTGCAAGCACGGACTCGACCTCGTATTCGGGTTCATTTTGGACGAGGACGGGCGGCGGCGGCGGCGGTTGGCGTCCGACGAAGATTGTGTTAGGATCCCGATAGGGCTTCAGAAGTTGGACATGGAAGGCGTTGTGAATCTTCCAGGTAGCTGGCAGGCGTAAGCGGAAGGTAACAGGAGTGACCTGTGCTTCAACGAGGAAAGGCCCGCAAAAGCGAGGTCGAAGTTTTGATGGGAGATGGCTGATGTCCAGGTTGCGGGTGTCGAGAAGCACCTGGTCTCCCACCGTGATGGTGTGGTCATTGCGATGGCGATCGGCCTGGCGCTTCTGTTGCTGTTGAATGTCAAGGAGGCGCTTATGGGTCCGATCCCAAAGCTGATGCATGATTGTGATGAAGTCGTGTGCAGGTTGGACTGTTGCCGGTGTTGGCGGTTTCTGTGGTGTGAGTGGGTGACGTCCGTAGCAGAGGAAGAACGGCGTCTGTCCCGTAGCGGCGTGTGTAGCGTTGTTGTAGGCAAACTCTAAAACAGGCAGGTGCAAGTCC